ATATAATAGTTTACATCTGCTAATCCCAAACTCCCAATCCATCTCTTCCCCACCCCGCCCCTCGCCCTCGGCAACCACAAGTCTGTTCTCTGCATCAATGAGTCTGTTTCTGTTTCGTTATCTTCTCTTCTTTTAATACAAAGTATATGTATTGAAATTTTTTTCACGAAATTCCATATGGATGCCCCCAAATCCTATCTAATTTACCCAAGTACCTACCACACAAATATCACACATACAAAATTAAGTGAAAAAAGGTGAGAAGCTTATACCCAGCTAGACAGAGTTAAGAAAAGCTAAGGGACCCAAAATAGGCAGAGTGGAGAAGGATACTCCTTCCCATCACATGCAGTGTGTCTTCAGGTCACAAATGTCTATTATTTCTGACTTTTATTAGAAGTATATCCTTTTATAAAGTGGATTTCCTTCCTTTGTACAATTTTTAAAACAGATTTTCCCCCTCAACAGATCAGCTTCAAACTTTTTAAAACATTTTCCTAACATATAATTATCATCTTCCAAAGATCCAAAAGTGCTGTCAATGTGACTGAAATCAGAACGTAAATATTTTATAAACAGCTGTCAAATCTCAACTGGCAGAAAACAAAAACCCCCCGAATTACTGTAATCTAACCACGAGGCTACATCATTTAATTGACAGATAAGACATTTTTCGAGCTTCCGTTTTCCCATCAGCATTTTAATACATTTGCATGGTGTGCCATCCTGGATCGTCCCTGTGACAACTGACTTGGAAGATGGAATTAACTCTGAAGCTCTCTAAGGGAGAAGCCTAGCACAGTAATTGAACTCAGTTTCATGGAACATTTTTCACACTCACTGTATTTGGAATGTCTGTTACTAACAGGGACTAAATATTGGCATCATGGGAATATTATGTTGGCCACTGGAAAAAAAGGCAGCTTTGCTCTTAGTAGTTTGATAATTTATTATTTCATTCTTTTGGGCCTTCATTCAACAAACATTTCCAATCATCTATGTGCCAGGCTTAACTAATAAATCTACGTAAGATCCAAAGAACTGGGCTCTGTCACCCATCACCATAGATCAGAAATGCCACTAGTGCCAATACCAAAAGTGGTCCCTCCCAAGGATTTACTGCTATTTTCTGTGTGCACTGTTGTCTGTCCCTGTTCTCAGAATTTGTTTTTTCATCTTTTTTTTTTTTTTTTTCTTTCTTTCCAGTCTAGAGCAATAAACCCATCGGGGACATCTATAAGCACCGTTTAATTTCTTTTGGGATATTTTGCCTAAGGCATTTTTTGACTCTACATTCATTCATTCAATAAATATTTACTAAGCTTCTTGCAGGGAACAGGCATCTTTATAGGTATTGCGGTTCAGGCAGTGAGGAAAAGAGACCAGAGAGGCCCTGCCCTCAAGGAGCTTAGACCATACAACAAACCATAAACACATGTCAGAATTCTTCATGTCTTGCTTAAATCCCTTAAGCTATACAAATAAGTACTTTTTCCATATGGGGGTATTTTAATATGCCTTAAAAATAAAACTTCTAAGTTTTTTTTTTTTTAATACTTACTTTATTTATTTATTTGGCTGCGTCGGGTCTTAGTTGCAGCACACGGGATCTTTGTTGCAGCATGAGGGGTCTAGTTCCCTGACCAGGGATCGAACCCGGGTCTGCTGCACTGCAAGCACGGAGTCTCAGCCACTGGACCACCCGGGAAGTCCCTAAAACTTCTAGTTTTTAAATGGAATTAAACTTGGAATAGTGCTCATTTAGAGACAGTGGTTAGGGAAGATTTGCAGCTGAGATCTCAATGGGAAACTTCAGGGACAGAGCCCTGCAAGCCAGGGGACTGCCGTGCCAGGGCCCTAGGGAGACAAGAACACAAAGGAACAGAATGAAAGACAGGGACACTGGTGTTGAGGAAGCAGGGAGAAAAGGCACAAGTAGAAGCCTGATTGTATCAGATAGGTAAGATGTGGTCATGTGTTTGGGTTCTACTCTAAATGCAGAGAAAGGAGTTGAAGGGTTTTGAGCGGGTCTCAGGAGAATAACAAGCTCTGATCTAGTTTCCCCAGACACTGGTCTTGCACACAGAAGGGATTTTGGTGTGGCAAGAATAGAAGCCAGGAGACCACCAGGAAGCTTACACAGTTGTCCCGGCAAGAGAGAATGATGACTTGGAGCAGGGTTGTAACAGAAGATACAGAAAGAAATTAAGAATTTCAGGATGTATTTGAAATAAAGGACAGCAAAAGGAAAATAACTGATAACTCTTTAGTTGGATGGCCAAAAAGAAAAAAGTTGACTTTAGTAGACACAGCATTTCCCTGCATTAGCAATGGACATCCAACAAGGTAAGTTATTATTTTATATTAAGAGAATATCAGAATATCATACACCCTCCATTTACAAACAAAGAGCAAAGGTCCAGAGAGGTGAAGGAGCTTTTTTGAGCCTCCAAAGAGCTGGCTGTCACCTGCATTTCCCATCTCCTAGTTTCCAGCCCAGGGACTTTTCCATTATCCAGCACCTCCTCCCCCGACTCAGCTCAGTACCTTATTCAATATCTTGCATGTCTTTCTTTGGAAAGGAATTTTATTATATAATTTATCTTTTTCCTGCATTTTTTTCTGAGCCTACTGAGTGAAGTAATAGACACTGTTAGAAGGAAAGTATTTAATATTAGGACTGTAGCTTAAAAGCTTAGTTTTGGTGGCCATATTTAGACCATTAGTCCTAAACTTCTATTTCAAAAGAACAAAAAGCAAAATAAAAAACTTGGAATTAGTATTTCTTTCACCTGCTTTCACAGGCAATTTCAATTCATCCTGATTCCCCCAAAGCAGAGTTTTCTCTTTCCTTTTTTTTTTTTTTTTTTTTTTGATACGCGGGCCTCTCTCTGTTGTTGCCTCTCCCGTTGCGGAGCACAGGCTCCGGACGCGCAGGCTCAGCGGCCACGGCTCACGGGCCCAGCCGCTCCGCAGCACGTGGGATCTTCCCGGACCGGGGCACGAACCCGTGTCCCCTGCATCGGCAGGCGGACTCTCAACCACTGCGCCACCAGGGAAGCCCCTCTTTCCTTTCATTTAAAAATATGGAATAGCCCCAGTTCGCTTAGTTTTATAAATGGATAATCTAGTGGAATTTCTGTATTATCGAAGGACATGCAAAGGATTACTGCACTGATGATGCCACAAGAACAGCACAGGCTCCTGGCATCATAATGCCAGGACCAGCACTGACGTAGCAGAGTACCGGGAAGGGCACCTGACAGGTCCAAGTTCGAACCTTGCCTTTGACACTTACTATCATAGGACAAAGTTGTTACATCTCAAAACATCAGTTTCCTCACTGTAAAATGGGGATCATAACACTTACCCGGACGGCACTACTGTGAAGACTAAATAAGGTACAGAAATACATGTAGCATCATGACCAGATATGAATGCTAGAATCAGCTACGTCTGCATTTGGCTCCGAGTATCAGAAGACCTAACAAGCTTGTGTAAGGGATTTATTTGTCTCCTACAACAGGAAATGTAATGGTAGCTTCACTAGAGCTTAAGAGTGTCATCAAGGTGTCAAGCTCCTTTTACCTTTCTGCTCCAATATCCCTGGTTGTGGCTTTTGTCCTTGTGATTACAAGATGGGGGCTGTGCTTTGTATTAATCATGTTTTTTTATTTTCTGTACTTTGTGATGTTTTGACATCTTAAAAGTTGCTGACCAGGGAGAAACTGTCCGTCCCAAGACTAGCCAATTCTTAGAAATAGCAAAGGGTTTGGCCTGGAGCACATCTTTCGCATGGAAACCAAACAATCCTGAGGGTATAGTCCCATCCACCTTCTTATCTAACTCACACACCAAGTCAATATTTCCCCTGCCTAAATCAACACCCTGCCAAGTACCAGGCAACCAGAGACCACCCTTGCAGCCCAGGGCCCACCGACATTATTCTAACTGGCCAATCCTAATGTGTTTACCCTGCCCTGCCTCTCCTTTCCTGAGGAAACTCCCAAGAAAGACACTGACCTAGACTTTCTCCTCATTTCTGTTTTCTGCCCCTTGACCAGACCTGGTCTTCCTCAGATGGCCTTTCATGGAGTGCCCCCTTCTCTCGGGAAATGCAAGTAATAAATTCTTCTTCCAGTGACACTGACTTCTCTGTGTCATCACTCAGTCACTTTCATAAATTAAGACCCTGCAGCTACAAATTTTAGAACTACTTTTCAGGTAGAAAGATGGGGCAATAACAAAGGAAAATGTTCCAAAAATATTCTCCTCTTGAAGCTCTGCTCTTTTATTTCAGGAAGGGAATTAATTCAGGAAGGGAAACCCTCCCCAGGGCCCATCACTCAGAACTCATTAGCCAGAAATGGGTCATGTGGCTGCAGCAAAGGAGTCTGGGAAGTCTTATTGTCCTTCAAAACTTCAGGAATTTTTAAGAAAGGAATAGGGGAGAATGTATATTGGGTAGGCTATCTGCACTGTCTGCTGAATAGAAAAAGTATTATGAACAATAACATTTAAAAAGGATTGAGCTTTTTCACAATGTTGCTCTTTCTTCATACTTACGATTGGATTTTGTACAGGATTCCAAATAAGGCGATATAAATAATCAAAAGATAATATTTAAGCTATGAATTAGACAAGCTATAAGGTCCTATATTTGCTAAAACGTCAAACATTTTCCACTATTTAAAAAACCCTCACATTACTACAGTTAAGATACAATACGTTTTTGAAATAAAATCAACTTATTTCATATTTCAACAAATTCCTTCATTGTAATTTTGAATCTGATGAACAAATTAGTAAAAAAAAGTACCTTTACTGAGACACAAAAAGTTGAGCATGACTTATTTATATTAAGATGCACACAGTAACAATTATAAATTGTACTGAAAAACACCAACCTAGGAATTCCTATTCTTCATTAACCTCTGCTCACAGATCAAGCCATCAGCCCCCTTTTTAAAGCAAAGAATTCAACTCAAAAAAGAGCTTACCTTACAGTACCTTAGTGGAAGTTCTGAATGTCATGTATTTCATCTCTAATCAGAAAACAGGTGCTAGAAGAGAACAAGAAAATAGGGTTTACACTAAGCCAGGACCCTGGAAAAGGGAAAGTCACTAGGTTACACACAATGATTTCTAAAAATGTAAGAACATCACAGAAGTTTCTAGAAAGTGACTTCAAAGATCATGGTGCCCAACCGCCTCTCGTAACTGATGAGGGCACAGGTGGTCAGAGAGTTAGGGCACCTGTTATTGGCAAAAGAAACACATCCATTGACTTCGGATGAAAGGCTCTTTGTAGTTCCACTCCTCATGCCTGCCAAAGCTCCAGTCACAGTGAAAGGACATAAAGTAAGAAGAAGAGAAAAAAAAAAAAAGTTGCTCATCCCTTAATTTTACATGTTAGTGATGGTGCCTTCCTTTTTCAGTAAATGACTTAGCGCTGTCGACTTTCAAAGAGAAGTCACAGGAATGACCCTTAGAAGTTCCAGTCCACTATCTTCTCCCAGACACTACTGGAAGTATATACACACCATTATCTTATGATTGGTTCAATTCTCACACAGAGATAGGATCAAATCTTTAATAAATTGAATTATAATTGACATACAATATTAGATTAGTTTCAGGTGTGCAACACAGTGATTTGACATTTGTACACATTATGAAATGATCACCGCAATAAATCTAGAGACCATCTGTCACCATACAAAGTTGTTACAATACACTGACCATATTCCCCATGCTGTACATTACATCATTCTGACTTATTTTACAATTGGAAGTTTGTTCCTCTTAATCCCCTTCACTTATTTCACCTGTTCCCCCATCCCTCTCCCCTCTTGCAACCACCAGTTTGTTCTCTGTATCTATGAGTCTGTTTGTGTTTTATTTTGTCCATTTGGTTTTTACATTTTGCATATAAGTGAAATCATACAGTATTTGTTTTATTCTCTCTGGCTTATTTCACTTAGCGTAGTATCCTCTAGGTACACCTATGTTGTCACAAACGGCAAGATTTTATTCTTTTTTATGGCTGAGTAATATTCCAGAATGCCACCTTTTTATCCATTCGTTTATCAATACACACGTCAGGTGCTGCCATATCTTGGTTATTGTAAATAATGCTGCAATGAACATAGGGGTGCATATATCTTTTCAAATTAGTGTTTTTGTTTTCTCCATATAAAAACCCAGAAGTAGAATTGCTGAATCATATGGTAGTTCTACTTTTACTTTTTTGAGGAACCTCCATACTGTTTTCCATAGTGGCTGCACCAATTTACATTCCCACCAACAGTGTACGAGGGGCTCCCTTTTCTCCACATCCTCACCAACACTTGTTTTTCTTGTCTTTTTTTTTTTTTTTTTTTTTGCGGTACTTAGGCCTCTCACTGTTGTGGCCTCTCCCGTTGCGGAGCACAGGCCCCAGACACGTAGGCTCAGCGGCCATGGCTCACGGACCCAGCCGCTCCGCGGCATGTGGGATCTTCCCGGACCGGGGCACGAACCCGTGTCCCCTGCATCGGCAGGCGGACTCTCAACCACTGCGCCACCAGGGAAGCCCCTTGTCTTTTTGATAACAGTCATTCTGACAGGTGTGAGGTGGTATCTCACTGTAGTTTTGATTTGCTTTTACCTTATGAGTAGTGGTGTTGAGAATCTTTTCATATGCCTGTTGGCCACCTGTATACCTTCTTTGGAAAACTGTATCTGCAGGTCTTCTGTCCATTTTGAAATTTTGTCTTATTTTATTTTTTGCGGTACACGGGCCTCTCACTGTTGTGGCCTCTCCCGCCGCGGAGCACAGGCTCCGGACGCTCAGGCTCAGCGGCCATGGCTCACAGGCCCAGCCGCTCCGCGGCACGTGGTATCCTCCCGGACCGGGGCACGAACCCGTATCCCCTGCATCGGCAGGCAGACTCTCAACCACTGCGCCACCAGGGAAGACCGCTTCTGTCCATTTTTTAATCGGGTTGTTGGTGTTCTTTTTTTGACATTCAGCTGTATAAGTTTTTAAAATATATTTTGGATTTCAGTCCCTTGTCAAATACATTGTTTGCAGATATCTTGGGATATAATCAAATCTTAAAGAAAATCCCCTAACCCCTCTTTGGACACTGATATTCACATTTTAAAATGTACAGAGCCAGACATTTGGGCCAGAATCTTAGGAGAGCATCTCTCTTAGAAGGTTGATCCAGAGAAGGAAAAAGGCACCAAGTTCCATGAGAGGAGGAGGGAAGTGTGTTCTTGTGAGGGATGTCCTTGAGGACACAGCATCCGTCTGGAAGGAACAGTAAGTGCTACAGGAGAACTTGAGGATAAGACCTGATAAGATATTACTGGATTTTTCAAAGGAGGACTTTGCAGTTTCTAGAGAGGTGAAGGGTAAGTCAGATGACAGGAGGATGAGAAGAGGCTGCGAGGTAAGAAGTAGAGGGATCCTAGGGGCATGTGCAGGGGGATTTCCTCAGCAAGGATGCAAGGAACTCCTCTGAGAGTCTGTGACAGGATAAGCCCAGAGGTGGAGAAATGTTTGATTAATAATTTAAAGATAGAGTTTTATTTTACATGTCTTTTTTAAAAAAAGTTATCAACCTGCAAAGGATTGGGAAAAAAGAAAAAAAAAAAGTCATTGGTCCTTCACAGCTGGAGAAGCAGTATCTCAGGGAACATCAGCCACTTTCCTGGCTCAAAACCACTCAACCCCCCATGCCCAGAGCCTCTCCCTCTACTACTGCTCCCAGCACTGGAACTATCAATCAAGGGACCCTCTCCTCCTTTTGGCAAAAGGCGGGCACCTGACTCAAGCGAGGCCTCTCAGATTGCTCCTCCCTTGGGGGCCCCAGTCTGAGAAGTGTGTCCTAAGGAAGGAAGTGGCTGGAGCCATTCTTTCATGAGAGCCATTCACTTTATGCATGGGGAAACTGAGGCTGAGGGTGTGAGTGAGCAGAGGTCACTTGAATCCAGGCTGTCTGTCTCTTTCCACTCATTGCCCTGCTCCTTTTAGATACAAGCATCTCCTTAGGAAATAGTATCTCTGCAATGGGAACTTCAGGAGAAAATTCAACGGTGTATTAAAACACTCATTCCTACCAGAGGAAGTGATGGGTAAGTCATCAAACAAGGAAAATCAACCTAGTTGCCAAAAAATGCAATCCATAAAAGTCTAAAATAAAGAAAGTAAAATCAAGGAAGTCTACCAAAAACCAATATGGAGGCCTCTTTAATACTGATTTCTGTCTCTCCTCTCTATCTAACAAATAGACGTTTTCTGCCATACGGGGTATGCCGGTGAGCCTAGAATTCATCTTTCACCATAGATTCCTTATCGAATCTAACGACTTAAAGGGCAAGTGCTCAGTGAATTCCACTAAGCACGTGCCGGTCTTTTCACAGTAACTTACTAAGTGTCTTGCACCTAGTAGTTGCTCAATATGTCTTTGTTATATGGGTTTTATCATTAAAATTAATAAATATCCAGGACACACTTGTCTAATTTACAATTAAGAGTGTCCCAACATGCCTACATATTGAGATTCACATAACTGAAAATAAGCAAATACATATCTCTCAGTAATAAAAATTAAGTGACACGATTAATGACAAAAGAAACGAACACCATTCAGTCATTAACGTGTCTGCTAATAAAAAGACCTTATTCGCTAAATGAATTGGAGAACAATAAATAAGACGGAACACCCTGAAGTTTATCTAAGTTTCTCTAGATTAGATTTCAGCAAAGCATTCATTTTGAAAACCAGCGAGGGAACTGGCTTTCATCCTAGCTTCACATTCACTCTATTGCAAATTAATTGCACATGACGTTCATTTAGGGGTAAGCTTCAAATCTCTCAGTATAACTGACAGGTTCTTCCAAATCCCAGTAAACATGGTTCAAAAGGTTTCATAATCAAAATATAATTGGCGATTCTAGAGATCATTGTTGTAATTATGCAGTTAGCCAAATAATGAGGAAAACAAAGCCAGAGACAGAATAACTTCTAGTATTTGGTGGAAATTAGACCCCAAACTCTCAGGGAGGACCTAGAATATTCCCCTATTTAATTTCACAACGTATCTTTAGTCTTTTAACCTCCTTATCTGATAACAAGTGCTTTGACAAAGTTGAGCCTGACAGCCTATTTCGTGGGAATAGGATAAATATAGTTCCAAAAATGTATATATTATGCTAGGTCTGGTTTGCATTCAGTTCTTATTCAAAAACAGCATTCACTAAATATCTTTGCTCATTCAGATTTGCATTTTTATTTGTTCCCTTCAGAGCCCATCTTCTCTTTTTTATCCACACCATCTAGAGAGGGAGAGACAGAACTAATGAAAACATGCAACAGTTCTTGCGAATAAACTCATTCATTCCTTTGTAACTGAAGGAAAACAAAAATCACAGCAGGTGAAAGAGGGTGAGAGAATAAGTTGTTGTTTCCTGTGTGCCAGACTGGTATTACTCCCAATTTGCAGAGACGGCTCAGGGATCAAATAACTGTCTCCAAGTTGACCAGTTAAGGAACTAGCTTAGATCCTTTCCATTTCAAATTCCATTTAATAATAGTAGGAACAACAATAGCAACAACAAACATTTACTGAATGTTCTCCATATTCCAGGCGCTATTCCAAGCCCTTGACATACACCCAATCATTTCATCATCACAGCCCTATCTATTGCTACCCGCATTTTATAGATAAAGAAACAGATGCTTGCTTGCTCTGTGTAGAACCACAGCTCTACAGGGATTGTCGAGAGAAAACTTGGTGCTGCTTCATCTTTTTCTATTTACCATTATCCTCCTCTCTCTATCCTTGTTTGACTTCATCTTGCTTATGAAATGAACACAACTCCTGGTCGGAATGAGTAGAGGGGTTCCTTTGGTCCATCAATCACTACAAGGATTCTGGGAAGTCATTTGGCTGTTTTGGTCAATAGACCTTGCTCAGAGCAAGCAGCACAACAAGAGTTCCTGGTGGACACCAAGTGTTCTAAGATAGGCTCTACCTGGGCATTCCTGACAGCACAACACTGTGGGAGGGA